CCCCAAAACCCCAAAACCCCAAAACCCCAAAACCCCAAAACCCCAAAACCCCAAAACCCCTAATAAGTCTGTAAGAATTGGAGAATCTAAAATAAAATAAATAAGATATAACATGGAAGCTGAAAAGCCAAAGATGATCTATAGACCTCTCGGTAACACCGGACTCAATGTCTCCATTCTCTCATATGGTACATGGTTGACTGCTCATGATGAGAAAGCTGAAGCTGACATCATTGAGTGCATGAAGAAAGCCTGGGAACTTGGAGTGAACACCTTTGATACTGCTGAGATATACGGAAAGGGTACTGCAGAGACCATCATGGGTAAAGGCCTGAAAGCAATCGGAGCTGCAAGAGAAGATCTAGTCATCACCACCAAACTGATGCACTGTGGAAGTGGTCCTAATGATTCCTTGCTCAGCAGAAAGCATCTGGTAGAAGGTGTGAAGAATTCTTTGAAGAGACTTGACCTTGAATACGTTGATGTTATCTTCTGTCACAGACCAGATACTCAGACAACAATGGTAGAGACTTGCAGAGCTATGGACTGGATTGTTGAGGAAGGGTATGCCTTCTACTGGGCTACCTCTGAGTGGACTGCAGATCAGATTGCTAGAGCCATGGAGATCTGTGAGAAGGAGGATCTCAACAAGCCAATTGCTGATCAATGTCAATACAATGCGATCAAAAGAGAGAATTTCGAGAAGAATCTTAGACACTCTTATGAGAACTATAAATACGGAACCACCATCTGGTCTCCACTTGCTATGGGACTTCTGACTGGTAAATACAACAGTGGAGAGTTCCCAGAAGGATCAAGATTCCATCCTGACTCCGGCCAGAGCCATTTCTTATCCAGCTACTTTGGCAAAGATAACAAAGATAAGGATACAGTTCTTGAGAAAATGAACAAGTTCACTAAGATTGCTGAAGAAGTTGGATGCACTACTTCCCAGCTTGGTCTTGCTTGGACTCTTGCCAACAGAGATGTAAGCACTTGCATCTTTGGAGCTACCAAGGTTAGCCAGGTCGAAGATAACATGGGCGCTCTTGAAATAGCTTCAAAGTGGACTGAAGAGCTTGAAGAGAAGATTGAAGAAGTTCTTGCTAATCAGCCAGAGCCAGAGATGGACTATAACACCTGGGCTGCAAGAAGACCAAGAAGAAAAGTTGCATTGGATTATAACATACCAAGTCTTAAGGAATAATTTGTGGCATTTACCCTAAATTCTTCTTAAATTCCAATACCTACATTTTTCCTACCATTGATTTTATTAAAAATAGCGTCATATATAAATGAGCCCTGTTACGTTGCACTGAATCAATCTAGATATCCCATTCCGGGGTTTTGGGGTTTTGGGGTTTTGGGGTTTTGGGG